CGGCGGGCCGGCCCCTGGCCCCTCCCGGGCAGCTGCCCTGCAGACCCCCGAGGGGCTGGAGAGGGGCCGCGGGGTGGGGACGGGCGGCGAGCAGGGAGGACGGCGCGGGCCAGGAGGAGCAGCACCCTGGCCCCTGCCCGCGCCCTGCCAGGAAGCGCCAAGCAGCAGGTCGGCAGGGCCTGGGGGAGCGGGGCGGGGGTGCGGGCCCCCCGGCCCGGATCGGGCCCAGCGGGTCGGTTTTCTGCTCTCAGGCTGGGCCAGAACCAGCTGGACTGCGTGGGCAGCATCCAGGAGAAGGTCACGGTCTGCACCACCGACGACGTGTGCCAGTTGGCGCGGGCGCGCGCACCACAGGCAGGGAAGGAGTCGTGGAGCCGAGCGGCCATCGAGATCTCGCCCGCGGCCCACAGCCAGGGTAGGGGGGCTGGCGTGGCGGCAGGGCTGGGAAGAGTCGGGCGGCCGCCTGCTCCCCTGGGGAGGGCCGAGGGGCACCGGGTCCCTGCTAGGCAGCGGCTGCCCCAGGAGAGCAGGGGCTGCGGGCTTGGGAGCTGGGACCTCATGCTGGTGTAGTTGCCTGGTGACTGTCCCGCTGGACCTGCCTGACCCACGGAGGCGGCTAGGGGTTCTGCCAGGTGTGGGGCAGAGCCAGCCGGGTGGGCAGGCGGGGCTGGAGCCAGGAGGCCAAGGGGGCCATGGCCAGCAAGAGAGGTCAGAGGCCCCAAGCTGTGCGTTGGCTGTGATGAGTGTGCCAGGCCTCCACTCAGCTTGGCTGGAGGGAGTGGGTGCCCTAGGGCTGGCAGGGCTGTGGTGCAGCTGTAGGCAGCTGCGGAGCACCCAGGGCTCGGCGGTGACAGCTGTGTGTCCCCACACCCTTGCAGGGAAATGTGTCACCCTGCCGAAGCAGCTGGATGCCAGCCCCCCCCCAGCACTGTGCCTTGCTGGGAGCAGGCAAGGCAGCCCCCCAACGATGGACCCCCAGGCACTGGCCAGGTACCTGGTGCAGCTCCTGGCGCCACGGCCCCAACACAAGCATGAGCTCCTGGCACGGCTGGAGAGGGCACGGGGCAGCCTGCAGAATGGGGCGCAGTTGCTGGCAGTGCTGGAGCAGGCAAGTGGGGGCTCATTGGGGAGGGGGCTCTGCCCCAGGTGCAGCGCGGCTGACCCTGCTGCCCGGCCTGCAGGTGGCACAGCCAGAGCCCGGCGGGCACAGGTATTGCCTGCGGGAGGAGCTGCTGGGGCAGGTGCAGGAGGACTGGCCTGGCTACACGCCGGCGGAGCGGCAGCTCCTCGCCCAGCTGCTGCACAGGTACTGGGGCCAGCACCTGCAGGCTGGCTGGAGCCGGGCTGTTTGCTTCCCGGGCACAGAAGGGTTAAACTAAAGCCAGCTGTGGCCCTAGCTGTGCCCCCCCCTCCCTCCTGTCCTGCTCTTTTCTCCCCTGCTCCAGGAAACAGGAGCTTGGGGCCTGGGCCGGACCCTCCCTGGCGCCTCGGCAGGAGGGTGCAGAGACCCCAGCGCAGCAGAACACGGGCAAGAAGCCGTGGGGCATGGTGAGCACAGCAGGGAGGACAGGCCCCGGTGGGGGCTGTGGTGTAGGGCTGGACCCACTGCGCTGTGTCCCAGCCGAGCAGGCCTGGCAGCGTCTAGGGAAGCACTGAGCTGGGCTCTGGGCTTTCAGAAGCGCCTGGCCCTGCCAGCCTCCTGCCGCCCACCACAGCTCAAGAGAGCCCGAGTGGCCGAGGCCTCCCTGGAGTCGTGCCCTGGCAGCCTGCAGGAGCCCAGGCCGGAGCCTGCAAGGGCCCAGCCACAGCCGGAGCAGCCCTCGCGGCCCAGCACGCCCGGGGAGACCTTGAGCTCCGAGGAGGCCGGTGAGGACTGGGAGGAGGGGACGCCGTGCCTGGAGCAGGACCTGGCGGTGCTGGGAGGTGAGTGGCTGCATCCCAGGGGCAGGCAGCCAGGGCAATAGGAGGACAGTGTTGCAAGGAACCTGGGCTGGGCTCCATGCAGGGACCTCCCGCAGGGGAAGCCTTGGGCTGCCCAAGCTGGTCCCCCTTAAGCCCTGGGGGAAGGTGCCAGGGGCCTCAGATTTTGCACCTGCTTTGTCACCCCCAAGGCCTTCGTGAGACTCCAGGTTGGCAGCAGCAGACCCGGGCAAGACAGGGTGCCTGGGGCAAGCTTCAGCCGCGCAGCTTGTGGGGCTCAGCCCATGGGGTGGGTGTTCCTGGGGACACCAGCCCTCCTGGCTGCGCTAGGGCAGGGACCCAGGTGCAGGGCTCTGGCCTGACGCTCTCCTCTCACCCCAGACGGTGGACTCAGGGCCGGCAGCCCAGCCGCCTTCGCAGAGATCCCGGATTACTGCCGGTGAGTGCAGCCGCAGGGGACAGGGAGTGGCACTGCCAGCCCCGTTGTCAGGTCAATCCCACATACCTGGAGAAGCAGCAGGCCAGTCCCTCCCCTCCCCACCTCCAATACCAGTGCCAGCTGGGGGCCCGGGCAAGCCACTCCCTGCCCTCTCCTGGTGCAGGAAGTTTGGGGCTATCCGGTCAGCAGAGCAGTGCCGCGCCTACACTGAGGCCTTCAGCGCTGACTACGCCGAGTACCGCTACCTGCACGCCCGTATTGGCAATGTCAGCCGCCACTTTGGCCAGCTGGGTGCCCGCATCAAGACACTGCAGCGTGGCACGGCCGAGCACAAGGTGAGTGAGGGGCAGCTGGGGGGGGATGTGACTGCACCCAGCACCGCTGAGCGGCCGCTCCTGCCTGTGTTGCAGGCGGCAGAGGACAGGGTTGTGCAGGAGTACCGGCGCTTCAAGAGGGTAAGGATGGGCAGGGCGAGAAGAGGGCAGGGCGAGAAGAGGGCAGGGCAGGGCCTTGGCAGGTGCTGACTTGCGCATCCCCCACAGACCTACCCCGGCTACAGGAAGGAGAAGGACCGCTGCGAGTACCTGCACCGCAAGCTCTCCCACATCAAGGGCCTAATCCTGCAGTTTGAGGAGGGCCACAGCCCCTAAGGATAGCTGGGCTGGGGGACACAGAGGCTGTGCCCCCACCCCCAGCAGTGGA